AAGCACAGGGTCATTATTTTCAAAGTAAACGAGGGATGGAAAGGGCAGAGTGGGTGGGATTCCTTAGGGGAAATTACAAAATTACAAACAATTTTTGTAATTTTGCCTTTTGGAGAGAACTCTTGCAAGTAATGAGCCCTGAAGCTTAATTACTTCTTGAGAAAATGCAAAGACCCAGGATATATGGGGCTGGAGAGATGGCTCAGCAGTTATGGGCACAGGCTGCTCTTCCAGAAAACCTACATTCAATTCCCAGCACTCATATGGCAGCTTACAACTGTCTGTAACTCAAGTCCCAGGGGATCTGATGGCTCCTTCTTGTTCTGGGGGCACTATACTCAAACTCATAAAAATAAATAAATAGCTGGTCTTGGTGACAAACAAAGGCCTAAGCTCTATAGTTTGTAGCCAGCCTGGTTTATATAACGAGTCCCAGGCCAGCTAAGGGCTACATAATGAGATCGTGTCTGGAAAAAGAAAATAGTTTTGATTTGCATTTCCCTGGTGACTAAAGATATTAAACATTTATTTTATTTATTTTTATTTTTTGTTTTCTTTTGTTTTGTTAGACAGAAGTTTCTCTGTGTAGCTCTGGCTGTCCTGGAACTCACTCTGTAGACCAGGGTGGCCTTGAACTCAGAGATTCACCTGCCTCTGCCTCCCAAGCTCTGAGATTAAAGGCATGTGCCACCGATACCTGGATAAACATTTCTTTAAGTGTTTCTCCGTCATTTGTGTTTCACCTTTTGAGAACTCTCAGCTTAGTTCTGATTCCCATTTTGAAATTTGCTTTCTTGATGCCCAGTTTGTTTTTCTTAGTTCCTTACATATTTTAGATAGCTAATCCTTTATCAGATGTGCCTGACATAATGGTGTCCTTTATAAATAAGTACATTTTTAAATCAAATAAATAAGATGGAGAATAGAAGGCAAGACTGGACATAACTTCTGGCCTCTGCACACACACACACATGACATGTTTGCATATACTATACACACATACACAAAAGCACAGAAAGAGAACACACTGGTCAGACAGTTATGTCCTCAGTATAGTAAATTCCAAGTTTCTTGTGTTCTGCCATAAAGACAAGCTCTTAGCCATATGCTGGGTCACTGCTGCAGCTAGGAACAAGAGCAGAGCATCCAAGTCCAAGGCACCTCATTCGGTGTTGCACTGGCGTGTAGCAGCCGTGTTCCCTAATGTGCCACACACACGGTCAGAATGAAATGTCAGTGCAAAACTCAGAACCCGAAGTCTGGCATTTAGCCACACTGAGGAAGTGCAAATTACTTCCTTTCCCATCAGATCCTGTGGCTTAGAGGCAGCAACAGACAGAATGGAAGCTGGTAGGATTGGCATTATTCGCAGCTGCCTTCGGACCATCAGAGCTACAGCAGAGGGAGCACTTCTCTCCAGGAATGTTCTGGATCTAGGCAAGGAGTTACAGAAATTCACCTGGATTGAGGAATACTCGTTTTAAAATTAATATTTAGGGCCTTTCTGTTCACAAAAATATCAAATGACAAACTTATTAAATGTGTAAATAAATAAGAAAATTAAAAATTACCCACAAACCTAACATTTTAACAATGATTAACACTTTGTTTAAAAACAAACAAACAAACAAAATACAGACATGGAAGGGGTTAAAATTATTTTACATGTATGGGTGTCTTCCTTGAATGTATGTCTGTATACCACTTGCATGCCTGGTGCTCAAGGTGGCCAGAAGAGGATGTCAGATCCCTTGGAACTAGATTTATAAACAGTAGTAAACTTCCATCTGGGTGGTGAGACTCAAACCCAGGTTCTCTGAAAGAGCAGCCAGTCGGTGCTCTTAACCTTTGAGCCATCCCTCCAGCCACAAGAGAGACCCTTAAAGACAATGAAATTATGTTATCTATACTCTGCACCATTTGGTTACCTGCTTTCTCAGTTAAAGACTTCAGGCTCCACTATTAAATGATTATTAATATTTAACATTGATTCATATAATTATTAAGATGGCAGTTATTCCTTAACCAGCTATTTCAGAGGTAAAAGATACAGAATTCTGTTAGATTTCTGATAAGCCTTAATGTACGGGGGCTGGGCAGGTATTAACCCTCTAAGCTACCTTGACTACTTACCAGCCAAATTTTCCATAAATCCTTGTACATGTTTTCCATTCGGGTTGCTTCTCTCCATCATGCCAATCCTCACAGCAAGCTACTTTGGCTACATGCTTCTAGTTCATGCAAACCCATGGCCCCTTTCTCCTCCTCCTCTCCTTCTTGTTGTTCTTCTCCAATCCCAAAGCTCAGGATCCTTAGCTCTATCTGCCTCTCCTCTGTCTAGCCCAGGCTGTAGGCAACTTCATTAGCCAATCAGGGATAATTTTGGAGACAAGGTTTACACAACATCATTTTGGACATGAGGGAATTTGCTCAGAAAGAATAAGGATCTGGGGCGGGAGGGGCAAGCAATTAAGATTTGAATACACAGTAGCTCCAGATCAGCTTCAACACGCCATTCTACTTCCTGCCTGCTATAAGATAGAGCAGCACTCTTCCCACCCCCACCCACCACCCCTTTATGTCATGAAAATTTCTTCTGCAGGCTGAAAAGATAGATCCGTGGTTAAGATCACTTGTTCCTGCATAGGACCCAGGTTTGATTCATAGCACCCATATGGCAGCTCCCAACCATCCATAAATATAGTTCCGGTGGATTCTTATTACTTGGGTGCATCAACAAACTGTTGCAGGATATTTGTTAACATTGTGAACTCCAAGTTCGTAAACTGGAATGGGAAAAACCTGTTTCTTATTATAGTGTGGCTCAGCCCTAGCACACACCTTTAACCCGAGAGCTTTCTGTACAAAAGACTAAATAAAGCCAACCATAGGTCAAGAGGCAGAGCAAACAACCAGTTGACAGGCTGTGAAAATAAGAAAACACTGGAAGGAGGGACACTGAGTTAAAGGATATTTAAGAGAGTCTGGAAAAGAAAAGGCTTTTTCCTTCTGGGACATTTGCTGAGTAGGAAGGTTGACTGGGTGTTTCTCTGCCTCTCTGAGCTAGCAGGCTTTCACCCCAGCATCCAGTTCCCAAGTCTTTATTGGTAAAAATCAAACATTAGGGATTTTGTTTTTAAAACAACAACATACATGCAGGCAAAACACTCACACATATAAAATAAACCTTTAAAAAATTTTTTCTTTACAAAACCACCTTTTTTAGGTCAGGGTTGAATGTAGTGAAGATTGCTCTTGAACTATGTAGCCAAGAATGACCTTGAGCTTCTGATCTTCTGGTCTCTGCCTCCTGAGTGCTAAGATTACAGGTTTATGGCACCTCATACTGTGGTGCTAGATAATGCAGTCTAAGGCTTGTACTCCAAAGCATTCTACCTAGATAAATTCCCAAACCCCTACAACATCATGTAAAATTGTTCTATGTATGGGTGTTTGTGCACCATGTGTGTGTCTGGTGTCTATGGAGGGCAGAAGAGAGTGTTAGGGTCCCCTAGAACTAGAGTTAGAGATGGCTGTGAGCCACTATGTGGGTGCGGGGAACTGAACTCACGTCCTCTGGAAGAGGAGTCAGTACTCTTAACTGTGGAGCCATCTCTCCAGCCTCAAGATCACTTCTATTTTATCTGTCTGTCTATCTGCCTATTGTTTTTTTCTAGACAGGGTTTCTTTGTGTAACAGCTTTGGCTATCCAGGAACTCTCTTTATAGACCAGGCTGTCCTGGAACTCACAGATATCTGCCTGCCCCTTCCTCCTGGGTTCTGTTATTTTTGTTGTTGTTTTTTCTTTTTCTTTCTTTCCTTTTCTTTCTTTCTTTTTTATAAATTTCAGTTTATTCACTTTGTATCATTGCTGTAGCCCCCTCTCTCATCCCCTCCCAATTCTACCTTTTCTCCCTCATCTTCTACCATGCCCCTCCCCAAGTCCACTGGTAGGGGAGGTCCTTCTCCACTTCCTTCTGACCCTAGCCTATCAGGTCTCATCAGGAGTGGCTGCATTGTCTTCCTCTGTGGCCTGTAAGGCTACTCCCCCTCAGAGGGAGATGATCAAAGAGCCAGCCAGAGTTCAGACTGTCAGAGACAGCCCCTGTTCTCCTTTCTAGGGACCCCACTTGGAGACTGAGCTTCATACATCTATGGGCTACATCTGTGCAGGGGTTCTAGGTTATCTCCATACATGGTCCTTGGTTGGAGTATCAGTCTCAGAAAAGAGACTGGTATTAAAAAGGTACTGGTATTAAAGGCATGTGCCACCATACCCAGCTTCAACAGCAATTTTAAATGACTGTCTTATATTAGCCAAAATGTATAATTATCATTAACAAGCTTCAATGGATGTTTTAAAACAATTTTTTCTATATAGTTACCTAAAAAAACAAAACAAAACAAAACAACAGATAGACTTCCTTTAGATGAGTTCAGGGTCAGAGTCTATACATATTTTAAATTTTTAGTTACATGTATTCATGTGTGTGCATATGTATAGAGATCAGAGGACAACTTGTGGCAGTCAGTTCTCTCCCCTATAATGTGAGTCCTTGGGCTTGAACTCAGGTTGTCACACTTGGCAGCAAGCACCTTTACCCCCTGAGCCTTTTCATTTGCCTTATCTGTTTAGAAGTATAAAAATAACCTTGGAAAAGATCATGTCAAGGTCTATTTCCAGAAAACCATTTTTGTAATCTCGGAGTTGAGGAGTGATTTTGACTTTATGAATGTACTTATCAGGCACAGTGACAGCTTACTCTCTGGCTGTTGGCCTCTCTCATGGGACCCTCCTTCAGAATCCATCCCCACATCTTATCTTCACCCAACCCATAAATGCCAAACATGGCCAAATTCCTGCCACCTGTCTCAGCTGCTACACTGAAAACCAACACCAGAGACTTCTGCAAGCACGAGAGTCCACTCCAGGCTCCCAGAAAGTCACTGAGCTGACCAGTTCCTGAGTTCATCAGCCCCTCCCGCAGAGGGCCCCAACCATGGCCTGCAGCTTCCGTGGGAGAGTCCAGGTTGGAGGGCTGCTCCTCTCTATCCTTGGCTGGGTGTGCTCTTGTGTCACCACCATTCTTCCCCAGTGGAAGACTCTCAGTCTGGACCTGAATGAAATGGAGACCTGGATCTCGGGACTCTGGGAGGCATGCGTGAGTCAAGAGGAAGCTGGCACTGTATGCAAAGCCTTCGAGTCCTTTTTGTCTCTGCCCCAAGAGCTACAGGTAGCCCGCATTCTCATGGTGGCTTCCCATGGGCTGGGACTGTTGGGACTTCTCCTTTCTGGCTGCGGGTTGGAATGCTCCAGGTTTTGTGGATCCAGAGTTTTCCAGATGCGGCTATGCCTCCTGGGAGGGACTTTGGAGGCATCAGCTTCAGTTACCACCCTCTTTCCAGTCTCCTGGGTGGCCTATGCCACTCTCCAAGACTTCTGGGATGACAGCATCCCTGAAATTGTGCCCCGGTGGGAGTTTGGCGATGCCCTGTTCCTGGGCTGGGCTGCTGGGCTTTTCCTAGCTCTGGGTGGACTTCTCCTCATCCTTTCCACTTGCCTGGGAAATGAAGATGGGTGTTCTCCCTGGATGGCTGAAGCCACAGCCCCACCAGCCTATGCTCCAACAGAGGAATTCGGTGGTTCCTTCCACCTCACACCAAGACTGATGAACCAGGTTATCTAGAGCTAGAGATTGCCTAGAAATCTCTATCATAGAGCAATGGCAGTAGACTCCTTTCTCCTCCTTGTCCTTCATTTGATTTTTTTGGGAAGGAGTGGTGACTATCATATTTGTCAAAGGTTGATTATCTTGGTGATATGCATACTTCAGTTGAGAATTAAAAATCAGGACAGTATCTTATAAACATGTTTACCTCATTGAAATTTTATTTATATAGAAATGTTTTCAGTTGGGGGAAATGTTTCATGCTTATAATTTCAGCACATGGAGGAGTGTGTAAAAGAACTGAAAATTTAAGGCCAGATCCTGTCTCAGCCTTCAGGGGTGTGATCATGGTGGCTCTCACTTATGATGCCAACTCAGGAAGCTGAGCCAAGAGAATTACCCTAAGTTCATAGCCAGTTTAGGCTACTGTATTGAAATAATAAAAGCAGTAGTAAACCTCATAGTATTAATTATATACTTAACCACTTTATTATTAAGGAATATGTGTTACAAGGTTGGAGTCACCAGATAATCTGGAGTGAAGAGGCATTGTATGTTTAGCTAGAAACGTTGATTTGCTGGCAAAGGAAAATTAGTTATTGGACCATAACAGCGTCTAGCATGAGACTCTACAAGTGAGATTTGAATCATAATAAATCTCTGCTGCTTTTAGATCCCCAGTGTTCCAGGAGGGCACTGCTTTGTTTCTGTTACATGATGAGTCTGTGAAAGGTCCCTTGTTTCTCACTGAAGGTGATGGTCCCTGTGAATAGTAAGGTGTCCAACCTTTTTGTCTAGGACTCAGTACTGCTAAAACTAGCAAACTCAAAGTCACACTGAGACAAACTGGTCACTCTAGGATGGTTGTGCCTATTACCAACCAAGGTGGGCTTGCGTGTGTAAAGAGTTCTCAGCTCCACAAAAATACTTTATCATATGCAAAAAAGCACACTAAAATTTTTTGTTAGCTGGTAGAGTGCCTGCCTGCTTAGCATGCACAAAGTTCAAGGCCAGCCCAGGCTACATGAAACCTTGTCAAAAAGAGGAGATGGGAGGCAGACAGACATAGACAGACATACACACATAAAATGCGGGGATTTTATTGTTATTATATTATTTGGGGCTGTGGAGGTCCAGTGGTTGGAACATCTACCTAGCATGTAAGACCTTGGATTTGATCTCTAACACTATAGAATAGACACATTTGCCAAAGCAGCCCAAGCCAGCATCCTTTTACAAAAAGCCATTTTCCCAGGCTTGCAAGATGGTGAGTTACTAAAGACATTTGCTACTAAGCTTGATGACCCGAGTATGATCCCCAGAATCCACATAAAGGTAGAGAACTGACTCCAAAAAGTTGTCCTCTGGCCACTTACATATGCATTGTGGCATATGCATGCAACACTCCCCCAACGTCATACACACACAATAATAACAAATTAAGAAAAAAAAAATGATAACCAGGCGTAGTGGCACATGCCTTTAATCCCAGCACTCAGGGAGACACAGGCAAATGGATTTCTGCGAGTTTGAGGCCAGCCAAGGTTACACAGGAAAAAAAAAAAAAAAAAAAGAAAGGAAGAAAGAAATGTTTAAAAAAGAAATGGGTGTAATAGTGCACATCATGAATCCCAACACTCAAGGAGGAGAGGCAGGTGGGTCTCTGTCAGCTCAAGCTTAGCCAGGGCTACCGAGAAGCCTTACCTTAGGAAGAATACTCCCCAAGGAAATGGATACTGCACAAGTACAACTTCTCTCCAACAATGTTCCCTTCCTAATGAAAGCTGGGGCCCAGGGAGTCGAGTTTCTCTGGAAAGGCCCCTTCCATGAGCTCATCTATGAACACTGACATAGATAGAGGCAAATATCAGGATGAAAATACTCCTGTTATTTTGCATGCATCAAAACTTATTCTGTCCTTCTCTGGCCAGTCAGAAGACTGTCTCTGATGGCTGTTTTTTCAGCTAACCTTTTCCTCAATAGGTTCAAAGTTTGGTGGGCTGAGTGTCAATAAGAAGTGAGGCTCAAACATCCAAGGATTCCTGGTCCCTAGAGTGCCTGCTTCCTGGAACCACCACATACCCACCTGATCATTTATGCTTTCATTTAACAAATAATTATGAGCACTTATGATGTGATGGTGGGAACCAATCAAAAAATAAGACAAACTGCATCCAGGGTCTTCATTCAAAGAACACAGGCATTACCTCTCAAATCAGAGTAGCACCACACAATTCAAGATCACACAGGAGGCGGCTGGCAGGTCCTCAGGCTCACACTGGGCAACTAGAAGAAGTGGCAGGTGTTGAAGGTAGGGGTCGAGTTCAAGAGGAAGAGGAAGAGGAGAATGACAAGGCTGACAGTGAAGGATGGAATTAGACCTCGAAGGGCCATGGTAAACATGCTGTTGCCTTTCTCAGCATCACAGGAATCGGCCCACCAAGCATCAGGCCTGCAGAGACCCTGATCAGGCCCTCTGATTGCAGCAGTATCTTGCCCTGCTTTCATAAAGGCTTGTCCCTGTCACACAACTGGCTGGGGCTTAAGAGATTTTGAGTTCTTGAGAGGTTTAGGTAAGACCTTGAAAGGTTTTTCAGAGCAGAAGAGCAGATGTAACTGGTCATTTTGAATCGAAGCAGCATACCTGTGGCAGCAAGCAGCTTAGTCAAGACTTGATATTTAAGGATGCTCTTCTGGGCCTCATCCTGCTGCTTTACTAGATGGGCCACCTATACAACCTACCACATTCAAAGACTCGGAGAAAATCCTCCTTTGCATTGTTTAGCCCAATCTTTGCAGACAGCTGGTTCACCTGTGCCTGCTGGACGCTCACCTTAATCCCATGGCTGTAGGTGTTGATGACATTTGTTGTTTTCTATTGCTTTCTCTGCAGAGAAACGGACACAGACTAGAATACCGTTAGGAAAATATGCCAACTCTCCTTTAGAAGGACACTTAGCTGATAAGAGGGGCTGCAGCGTGCATGTGGTAACATGCCCCTCACCCAGGAGACAATCAAGCTACTCCTGAGCTGCCTGCATCCATGGAGTCACTGTTCACCCATTTCTATCCACCTGTTTTGAAGGACAAGTGAGAGTTAAAAACAGAACTAAGGAAATCTTTTATCACAGACTTGTAAATTGATCTCACTGAAAATACTTCTTGGGCTAGGGACATAGCTCTGACAGCTTGCCTGATAACGCTGAGTCCTTACATTCCATCCCCAGTAGGATAGCCACCCCAATTAAAATTAAAAAAAAAAAAAAAGAAAGAAACAACTTTGTAATTTCACATGGGAAGATGAAAACCCATGTATCACGTCTAAAGCACTGTTCTAAAACTCTCTAGCCGAGAATGGCTTTGAACTTCTGAGGCTCTGCCTCTACCTCCAGTATTGAGACTTCAGGCATGAGACAGCAGATTTGTGTTGCTGGGATGGAACTCACGGCTTCGCCTTATGTGTATGAAGCAAGCGCTTGATTGACTGCAGAGCCACAGTGGCCTCAACACCAGGAGACTCAGCCTCTAGGATACCTACTTCTTGTGGCCAAGAAGATAGCAAAGGCTGAGGGTCTGAAAGATGGTCTGTCTCTCATGTAGCGCTATTTGCTTTACCCCATTAATGTATCTAACCTTTCTTGAAATGTGTAGGGTAAAAATGAGCTTAAATGACTCAACTTTTCCCCCCCTGCTAATGATTTAATGTGCTGGCACTTGAACACAGGGCCCTGAGCATGGCAGGCAAATGTTCTAACACTAAGACAAATCACCAAGTTTCTTTGGTTTGGTTTTGAGACAGTGTTTCCAATGTACAGGCTAAACCTGTGAAGCCTTGGCTATCACAGAACTCAAGGGAAGCGGCTACCTGCCTCTGCCTCCCAAGTGCTGGGATTAAAAGTGTGTGCTACCACTGCCTGGCAACTAACAGCTCTAAAAGGAGCTATCAAACTTGCAGTTCACTTTGTCTTCACGGCACATACTAAGGTGAAACTCCCAAGTACTTCCTCCATCTTTCACACTGGCTTCTTCCTCCTCTCATTCTTTCACCCTCAGCAGTCTTGTTCCCAAACCTTTAAAAATGCCAAAGTATATGCCTGTAATCCTGGCTGCTCAGAAAGCTGAAGTTAGAAGACCTGAGATTTTGAGGTGAACAGAGCCAACACAGATTCTGTCTCAAAGAATCAAGAGCCAGTGATACGGTTTAGTGGGTAAAGACACTACTCAGCCTCAGCGCAATCCTGAAAACCCGCATAATGGAAGGGAAGGAAATTAACAACTAGCACAGGTTCACCACTGGCCTCTGGCATGCTGTGGCATGAAAACACCAGCGAAATAAAGACATGAAAAAAATTGAAATTTAAGTTGAACAGCTTATACTGCAATCCCAACATCTGAGAGGTGAGAGGGGAATGCTGCAAGTTCAGGGCAAGCCTGGTTAGACCCAGTGTCAGTAAGTTAAAAGCCAGTAAGAGTCCAACAAAACACAAAAACACTCTAAACCATAGCCTAAGAACTGCTAAGAAACCCTTACATGCTAATACATGTCTGTGCTCTCGGTATTTGGGAGATAGATACAGCAGGGTCAGCAGTTCAGGGCCAGCCTCTACCACATAGTGAGTTTGAGCCCCATCTAGGCTCTGAGTCGCTCAAAACTGAATACCAACAAAATACAAGCCTGAAACCTCAGTCTATGATACCCCAAAAGAGACACGGCTAAACAAAAAGTAGCTAACTATAAAATGAGAAATTGCATGTCAGCACTCCTCCTAGTGATCAGATTGAATCTAAACGATGTAGACTACTCAGCCACAGGGCGTTGTGTGTGGTGTTGGGAAAGACAGACGATAGGGCAAGATAAGGCTGAATGGTTAGAACTTGCTGCCATCCCAGCGGTTCTCAACCTTCCTAATGCTGCAACCCTTTAATACAGTTCCTCAAGTTGTGATGGCCCTAACCATAAAAGCTGCTATCTCATAACTATAATCTTGCTAGTTACAAATCATAATGTAAATATCTGT